TGATGTCATCAACTGAAATGGTTCTAGTTGCGATATAGACCCATTGTGGATATGTAAACCTTAAAACAGGTCTAATATATAGTTTTCAAAGGCTGTATTGTATGCTATTATTATTTGTGTTCTAAATTTATATCAAAAATAAATCAGTGGAGTAAGACTGTTTTACTACACAGGTTAAAAGTTTGAAATTACAGTTTTAAATAAAATTGATTGATTCCCCGCAAACATTTCCCACAGACCAACTTTTCACATTCATGGCTAACGTAAGATGAGCTTTTTTTGATGCAGCGCTGAAGCTCCTGGCGCCAATTTCTGTCCCTCGCCAAAGCTGCTCTTCAGCGGCGGAGGGGCTGGAAACCTGCGGTTTGCCTGCAACTGTTTTACCAGTACAAGGATAAAATCTTTGAGTAAAAAAAGTGACGTTCAAACAGCTCCTGAGCAAAATCAATGCGTTTATAGCTGATATTTCCAGGAGATCCCAAATTACAGCCACAGTGTCATAGCTTTTACAGAATCCTTTCTAATCATCTGATCCGACACATCCACGCCAACCTGCGGTTATAGTAGACTGCGGGCTCTGGTTTGGCTTTTGGGCCGCTGAGTGTAACAGCAGAGGTGTGGGCAGTGCTTGAACAAAAGTTTCTCTATTATCTGATACGTCCGCATTTTCCCAGGGATGGTTGATCATCTCGGACTCGCTGTCAGAATCTGAGCCGCTTCCTTCCCAGTCCTCCTCATCGGTCTCTCCCCCTCCGCCTGAATCACTATCATCAATATTTTGAAGCATTTCTAAAGCCTGTTTCGCTGTTAGGTTTATTCTTAAAGCCATTTTTCCGTATTAGCCAGAGAGTTTTAGGTAGAATGTTGGATGCTAGGCAACGGTACCGAATGTCAATCAACCACAGAAAGAATTTACAAAGCAGCTAATAGAGCTGTCAAAATGACGGCTATGGGAGATCAAGGTAGAATTAACCATATTTATTTTTTACGTTCAAAATTTTTTTTTAACTACGTGAAAAATGAAGGAAATATAGAAACAGAAAAGGTCAGTTAACATGTGCAACATAAGATTAATTTTAAATATATTTCTTTCCCTTTAAATTCTCAGAACCGTCAAAATAACGGTGGTGGGAGTTCTAGTGTTAATCCTGCAATCACCACAATAAAACAACTCCTATTCTGTCAATCAGACTTCTGCTTCCCTCAGCAAGTATTCTGCTCTGCTTATTCTCCTTCACAACAGCTCTGTCCAGACTTCCATCTGTCTGATCATTCTTTAACTTGAAGCCTGTGATCTTCGTTTGTTTTCCAGCCTCTTCTTGTATGCCTCCTAGCTTTCTCTTAGCTTGATTTTAAGGGTCTTTTCACACCCACAGCTTTAAATCCATCTTACCGTAAATTTGGTCACATTTAGTGGTGTTGAACTAAATCCCCACGTATCGGGATTTTTGACTGCCAATATGATCTCCATTCTTCATTTCCTAATATTGATTTGAGGAAGGAAAAAAAAAAAAAATATATATATATATATATATATATATATTAGGGGTGGAACGGTTCACAAAATCCAAGGTTCGATTCACGGTTTCGTGGTCACGGTTTTTGGTTCGGTTCGATTCGGTATATGTTGATTGTTACACCGAAATCCCATAAAAATTTATTAAATTAATGAAAAAGTCCCCCCAAAAATAATGGATTGTAATTATTTTAAATGATCCGCGGAAACCCTGGATCATTTCCGTATGTTTTGCTGCTTTGAATTTAAT